ATGAATGCTTAAAGTAAATGTGTATAACCATGATGATGGCCTTGACTTTTAACTGACTTTTGACTCTGAGCGTGTCCTGATCCATTCAACAAGACAGCTGGGGGATGTTTTTACTGCCCCACCCAAACTGTGAAAGACAAAACAGTGTTAAGTGATGTCACTACTACTGCTAATGTAAACCAGCTGTGGATCTTATGGGCTGTATGGGACTGAAATTCCATGTGTTTTAGACCACAGATGTGTGTAAGTATGTACGTGTCTGTGTACAATTTGTCAGTAGTTGTCTAAGGAGCTTGGCAGCAGTTAAAAACCCAACTTCTCTTTAAACTCAAAATCAAACAAATCATCACGCAAAATCACTCACTTTTTTTCTGGGAAAAAATAGGCTGAAAACAGGAAAACATATACAATGTTATTTATTTAGTTTTTTTTTCATGTTAAATCCCATTTTAACTACAGAGTGCTAGTGAAATTAAATAGTCACACTGAAATATTGATGTGATAATGGTACGATACAAGATGGATCAAAAGAACAATGAATGCAGGACATTCCAGTTTGATATCAAAGTTTTTAAAGTTATTATCCTTATTGTTATTGTTATTAGGCATGTCAGGGTAAACTGATGTTACCTGTATTTATAGGATTAAAAAGGCATATTTGGACCATTAGATGCTGAACTTGATTCATTTCTAAATATATTTCTTTGTCATATAACCTAGATAAAATATCATGATGACGGGAGAAGTATATACTTAAACACAATAAAAGTTATAAAATGAAAATCTTGGCACATAGAATGAGCAATACAAGTATGGATACACAGAATAAAAACAAGTATATACAGTACTGGACAGAGAATAATACTAACAAATGGATGGGCAGAGGTGACATAAGGAGGCTCTGTGTCTAAAGTCCTTGTGAGTTTGTTGGTCAAACAGTGAGTAAAGAGGCCTTTTGGCTTCGTGATTAATGCCTCGGTGTGACTTAAACGTCAATAGTCGTTTTGCTTCACCATGGCGATTGTCCACAACTTGGTTAGCCATCATTTTACAAATCGTCTACATTTTTCATGGCTGTCGCATGCGGTTAAGATTTATCAATCACTGACACGACTGATCAAAATGATCATGAAGCACACATATGTACATACAGTACAATAAGGAGGATAAGCGTAGATGCATGTATGGATATATACAGTCAATGCACAGTACAGATGCAAGTTAATACACTCATGCAAAATGTCATAGTACACCCACACACACACACAC